GGAGTGCTGGGTCTTCCCGGGTCCCTCAGCCCACGCAGCAGGCAACCTCCTGGGTCCACCTTCCCAGGTGCAGGTGCATGGCCAGTGATGACGCCCACACAGGATTGGGACTGCCCAGGCCCCAGACCGCTGGGGGCCAGGCTGAGCCTGGGGGAGGCCGGGATGGGCTGAGGATGGAGGCAGGGCACCCTGCCTTTTGCTGGTGTTTCCCAACCCCGGGGGGGAGGGAGGTGGAGAATGAATGAAGTGCTTCATCTCCCTGTTCCCACAGGTGAATAGCAGTGGTGAGAATCCAGGCTGCTCCAGCCTTTGAACAGCGAGGGCCCTTTGTAGCAGCGAAAACGATCCCTCCACGGCCCCTGGTTCAGTGGTGGGGGCAGGAGCCAGCTTCCCAGCCCCGCAGGAGCTCTGTGGGCCCCAGGGGACCCCGCCACCACCCACCTGCCCTGCCTTCCTGGCGGGTCCTCTCTCTCCTCTCTCCCCGACCCCTCTCACTGTGGCTCATGGCCACCCACCCCTCTTCCTTTCCTGGAGGGTGAAATAGGCCCAGACTAACTCTGAGTCCGTGTTTAAAATACGCTCCTCTGTCCAATGAAGGAGCTTTCTCAGCTGGGTGTTTAGGAAATTTGGGGGGCTTGGGGGACCATGGCTGCGAGTCCTAATTTAAAGAAAGGCCTCCTCAGAGGACAAGGGCAGTGAAAGGCTTTCTGAGTATCAGCCAGAGCCCCGCTTTCACTTTCCTCCAAGAGGCTGGAACCTCACGGATGGTTCCCAGGGACGGTTTCCCAGGCCTGCGGGCAGGGAGGCCAGGAGAGGGTGAGAGAGAGAGAGAGAGAGAGAGAGAGAGAGAGAGAGAGAGAGACACTGCTGCTGGGAGCTGAGCCCCACCCGCAGGCCTCTCCGGAGTGTGCCCAGGTGGCCTCTGTTTGCACACCTGTGGGAGCCCCCACCCCCACTGCACAGCCCCAAGTGTGACCTCAGACTCAGAGCCTCTGAGAGTTCCCGCCTCCTGGCCCTTGGCCTTGGCCGTGGAAGGAGGTGGGTTTTCATTAACATCATTTATTTACTTATTATTTATAAATTGTCACCCGAGGTTATGTATTTTTTTAATTGATTTTAGAGAGAGTGGAAAGGAGAGAGAAAAAGAAACCATCAATGTAAGAGAAACATCATTGATTGCCTCTTGTACGGACCCCGACCAGGGATCAAACCCATGATCGTTTGGTGTATGGGACGATGCTCAGCCAACTGAGCCACATAGCCAGGGCCACAAACACCTATTTTTTTAAAACTTTTTTTTAATGTTTTTATTTATTTTTAGAGAGAGAGGAAGGGAGGGGATAGAGAAACATCATCAACCGCTGCCTCTTGCACACCCCCACTGGGGATCAAGCCCAAAACCTGGGTGTGTGCCCTGACCAGGAATCGAACCAGTGACCTCCTCGTTCCTGGGTCAAAGCTCAACCACTGAGCCACACTGGCCGGGCCAAAAACATCTTTTATGCAGGTGTCTCCATGCCCTGGTCTGAGGACAGCGAATAGTGTGCAGGTGCATCACAATTCATATACACCCTCTTCAGTCGTGTGGGAGGTAAGTATGTAGTTTTACAGAAGAGAAAACAGGGGTTCCATCGTTTGCCAGAGGTCAGTGGGGCACAGCCAGGACTTGGGCCCAGGTTGTTGACAGAAGGGAACAGGTGGGGGTGGGGGTCAATCCTGGATCACTGGGCTGCCCAGCACCCTCTCCCTGGCCAGCTCTGTGACCCCAGGACCAGTCTGGTATTTGGCCCTGTTCTCAAGCCCCATCCGGTCCCATTGTAGTAGGTTATTAACAAATATTTGTCAGAGGGGTTAACCCTCTGATGGGGTTAACCTGGGGCCACCCCTCCTCTCCCCAGTGAAGCTGCTGCCCTCCCACACTGGCTGGGGGGCGGGGGGGGCGCAGTCCTCCAGGCTAAGCTGGTTTTTCTAGAATAAGCTGCTCTTCCACTTTGTACAGCTCTTCCTGTTCACAGCTGGCACCTGGCCCTCCCGCCTGGAGGCACACCTGCCCCCCCCACCACCACCAGGGCAGCCACAGCCCTGCCGCCCTCCTGTGACCTTGTGCCCTTGGGCAGGTCTGGCCTTACTTCTCTTATCTGTAAAGTGGGGATGATAATAAAACTATTGTGCCTTTGCCAAAGTCTACACAAAAATGCTTTGAACCCAGTAAAACCCTGGTCAAACGTTACTTGATTCTGACCCTGATTTAGGCTGTTTACTCTCACAGTATAAATCTTCATGGGAGACGTTCTGGCTGTGGGAATGGAGTCTGGACCTGCCATTTGGCAGCTGTGTGATTTAGGACAAATTATTTATTGGAAAAAGGGGGAAAAAACAGGAGAACCGCATAAGGCTGTTGCCGAGAATTGATGAGATGATGCATACGACAAGGTGGCCGAGTGACCTGCCCACCGTGGGTGGCCAGCACATATGGTCATCATTAGGTCACCACGATGGTGCCCCCCATCCTCTCTGCTATGTCATTCAGAGCAAGGCCTTGTCTGCACTCCTGGCTCCCGGGGGGGCAGGGGCACAGCGCCAGGTGCAGCCAGGTGCTGGTTAAACGCTTTTTGATGAGGATGAAAGAGCTGAGATGATCCCTGACCGAAGCCAGGACGGGAGCTGCCTCCTGCTCCCCACCCCCACCCCTGGGCCTCCCTCTCTGCTAAGCAGCTTTGCCTGGGGGAAGGGCCGGAGCTGAGGGGTCTGGACAGGCAGGAAGGGGCCTTGCAGAGCCTGGGGTGGGCGGCCTGTGTCCCAGGGACCCTCCTTCTCACCCGCGCTCAAACTCCAAATAGAATCAGAGCCAGCCAGGGAAGGGGATAAAA